AACGGTATATTACACGAGACGATTATTTTTTCTACATTCAAGCAACAATGTTGCAGGTTTTTTAATCACTTTCAAAAAGCTGCAACATGTTGCCGCAACGGAATGTTGCGTCAGAAGTCGCCCTCTGCGCCAAGTTACACGATATCCATTTTAACACAACAATGTCGCGTTAAAAATCGGCGTTGAAATCGGCTTGTGTGACATCAACTTAAGAGCATGTCCATTAGGAAACCAGGCAGGAGGTGCCGATACAACTCAATTAATCACCGATTTCGCTCAAACTTGACACAAATGTTGGGTAGGGTGAGTGAATGATTATGGCAAAAAAAGAAGTTTAAAATATTTTGTTCCCTTCAAGTAAGGGAGACTACTTGACACTAATTTATGCGTATTTAAACAACAAGGAAAGCAATGTGAAAATGAAATCCACTTCTTGGTTCCATCTTAAGTAAGGTGCATATTTCGTAGTGTTGTAAATCGTCTTTAATTGATGGCAAATATCTGCATGGAGAAACAGCACAAACACATTATTTTAACATGAATAGTGAGAACAATCAATAAAGTTCTCAAAAACGCCATAAAATGTTTTGTTACTTCAACATTTTTTTCTGTACTAGCGTACCGTTTACATGTGACTTGACGATCTATGGCCATTTCATGAACATCATTTAAAAAACACAAAAATGAAATCCACTAGCTGGATCATGTTTTACAATTATCATACTCAAGGGGCAGTAATTCAGTCAAACTTGGCAATCCGATTTCTCTTCTTGGCTCCATCTTAAATAAGGTGCATATTTCAAAGTGTTGTAAATAGTCTTTAACTGATGGCAAATATCTGCAATGAGAAACAGTAAAAACTCATTATTTTAACATGAATAGTGAGAACAATCAGTAAAGTTCTCAAAAACGCCATAAAATATTTTGTAACTTCAACATTTTTTCTGTGCTGGCGTACTGTTTACATGTGATTTATCGATTTATGGCCATTTCGTGAACATCATTTAAAAAACACAAGTATTTTCAGAGCTATATTTTTTTGCATTCACAAGATATCGATACAAATACAGGGGCAGAAGATTTAACTCACAAGTTTTCTCAATTTACGCTTTCAGGTGTAAAAGGCGGTGTAAAATAGAATGGAAGCAGAAAAAAATATAACCACTACATAAATGTCACTTAGAGGGGATTTTGCGCTTTCTTTGACTCTTGGATTTTGATGTCCTTTCAGACTCAGTGTCCAGTTCTGTGTCATTTTTTCCGTTTCTGATCCACGTAAAAAGTGATATCCATCACAGTCCCACTTTCATCATCAGAGGTATCAACAGGTTGTCGAGAAAGCTACTAAAATGGCCGTTCAAAATCCACAGACATGCATCTATCACTGCTGCTATAACATTTTTATTATTGCTGTTATTATTATCATTATTTTATTATGCTCTTTTTTTGCTATAACATAAAGATTGCTTTCAAAACCCACAACATTCCGCCATCTTTTAACGATGCCATGCGAAAACAATTTGTATCATAATGCATGACGTCCCTACCAAATGAAAGGAAAATAACTGCTCACTTTTCAATGGTGGCTCAACGTCGTCAAGGGTGGCGAGGTCTTTTGTGGTGGTTTTTGAAAGAAATCTGTAGGATATAGCAGCAATGATGGCTGCTGTCGATTTTGAACTGCCTTTTGAGTAGCGATGTTGACAAGCTGTTAATATCTGTGTTGACGAGAACATGCAGGATGGCTATGGATATTCCCTTTAAACCTCGGTCGAGGCAACCGAACAGATGACACAAAATATAGCTGTAAAAATATTTGAAGGAAATGTCTCAAGAGCTACTTTTCGCCGAACCTATACTCGAAAATGATAGGAAAATACGTAGCTATACTTTTCTCGTTGATTTCGAGCTAGATTAACGCAAAAAAAAAAAAAAGAAGAAGAAGGAAAAACGGCTTTGGTGTTTTAAATGGGTTTACGTTCATGAAATTGTCATAAATCGTAGTCTTATGTAAACAATACTATGAAATATGCACCTTACTTAAGATGGAGCCATGGAGAGAAATCCGATTTCCTATAATTTAAATAGATCGCTACACTTTGAGTCTGATAATTGAAGAACATGATCCAGGGGATTTCATTTTCACATGGCTCAACCCTAGACCAAAGACAGCTAATTAAATATACATAAACTAAAAATATTTTGACCTTCTTTTTTGCCATAATCATTTACTCACCAAACTTAACTTTTGTGCCAAGTTTGAGCGAAATCCGTGATTTGAGCTGTATCGCCTCCTGGCTGGTTTTCCCAGGTACACGTTTTTAAAACTCAAGGAATTATAATTATAATAGTTTAATGATTTCAGATCGAATTTTCTATTAATACTTTAATTTATTAAGCAGAAAAGACACTGCTTCTGTAATCAAGTGTATGTATAGCACATATTGCCTTAACTTACACAATATTTAATTCTCTATTAGGCAGCACGACACAGCTCAGACTTATGGTTTTATATAGGTAGCGTTTTGCGAATTTACAGGCTTTTTTGTTCGACTGGAAAAAAGAAGGTTTGTAGCTGGACAAAAACAAGTTATCGATGATATCTTTCGCACATTACAGACGAGTCAATAAATAAATCTGTAAAATTACCAATGTATATGGTGTAAGGGGCTGGGCGGGGGAAAGCTGTCTTCCACCGAATTGTTCGTTTAAAGATCCTAAAACCTTTCAAGCAAACTCGCAGTTCAGTCTCATCTCCCTAAACCTTCTCAACATTCTTCAGGCCAAAGTTTAGAACTGCATCTAGTGACTCCTATCACTACATCGCAGTCTGCAACTGAGAATCCGTGAGTTTGATTCATAACCTAGCGTTTCACAAAAACTGGCTCAGGTTATTATACACCTCTAGCGGTTTATACCCTCTGTAGAGAGGCGAGCATTTACCTCAGCTGAAAACGCGTATTATAGATGTCCAATTCATGGCTACATTGAAAAGGGTGTAAATTTTATTTTAAATACTTTGACCTGACAGACTAAAAATTGACAATTGTGAATTTTGAATTGTTGCATGATATAAGCATTAAGTGCGGTTTCACCAAATCGTGCTAGTAAGGTTGACTAATATTCAGAATTATGGTATTCACGCATATGTGGTCCATTCACGTGCATATCCACCCACGTGCATAGGCACGTGAGGGCACACATTTTTGGGCCGTCATTGCAGAAACACTCCAGCTCTCGTGAGTTCTAAACATCAAGTGCAATATTTTCAGTGTGTTGACGAGATCATAGATAAATATTAATGCCAGGAACACCGATATTAATCTGTAAATTCATCCCTCATCACCAACCTGCCTTGCTTGAGTTCCTTCAATCTTCAATTGAAATCTCCAGGTTTTGTCACCGGTAATGATGTGAAGGTTCGATCTCACACCTAGCTGATTCTTGCAAACTTGCAGATTTTGTTTTCTTTTCCTTGATTGTGCATTTTAGATAACGGTTCTGTCGTTAATTGCACATATGTTAAGATCCTCTTATCTCGAGCAATGATTCTCTTGAAAAATACAACCATGGAAATGCATGAAGAAGCAAAATGCAGTCAGTCACTTGACAAACTACCACGTTTCAACCACGTGAATATCTCGTGCAGTAAATAATCCAGTATCGTATCACTTAATTATGCAAAGTGTACATTGTGTGCCTATGTTTGGCTTTTTCTTGCTTGTTTTTACCATTTTAAAAATGGTTTTGAACATCTTTACTTGTACAATTTACATGACTTAATCCTAAGGAGACTCCCACTTTCCCTAATCATTAATAATAAATGTCCATTGTGCACATCAAAACTCTTGCAAACGTCTTATGTAACACAGTACTCAGGGGGGTATATATTTAATAGGATTTTAAGTGCTCTACTTTAGACTGAACGGACTTAATTGGTCTAAATATACCTATGACAGTCAAGATTTATATTTACAAACTGTATTATACCAATGCATATGAGATACAATATAAATAAAAATCTCCATGACTTTTTTCCTTGGTAACTTGATCATTTGTAAGCACATTTTGACTAGTAAATCTTTTTTTCTAAATTTTGAGAGAGAAACCTCGTTACTTTGTTTTGAAACCAAACCATCAATGATAACGGAAGTAATTTCTAGTGAAATTTTGTTACTCAGAAAAGACACCGGTTTTGTAATCAAGCCTATTTACAACGTATATTGCCTTAACTTACACAATATTATTAAATTCTTTAGATCATCACGAACGTAAATAGCGTCCGGGGGTGGGCGTGGGAAAGGCTGTGTCCAACCGAATTGTAACCTTCTAACTTACTAAAACCTGGCCAAGTTTGACTGTTCTGATGACCTTTGCCAAGTGAATCTCATCTTCCTGAACCTTCCCGACATCCTTCACTTCGTTTGAAGTGATTACACACCTTTAGGGACTCACACCCTCTGTAGCGAGGTGAGTATTTACCCCTCCTGAAAAATTATATTATAGAGAGCCATTTTGCGTCTACAGTTAAGAGGGTGTTGAGTGTATTTTGAATATTTTGTCATAACAGACTTAGAGTTAACAGTTGTGTATTTTACATTGTTTAGCAATATCGCAGTTTCTACGTAATTGTGCCAGTATAAGGTTTGCCAATATTTCGAATTTTCTTTCGGCTTCTTTTACCTTTTTTCATTCAACAAGTAACCCTTTTTGTGGATTATTTCTTCAAAATCACAACTCTAATGGTTTATTTGTTTGCCAGTAAGAATTTTTAGGTGTTTTAAAAATTGCACGGGTTGCAAGTAGTGGAAAAGGAAAAGTTGTTGTTGTCAAAACAAACCAAAATATGTTGAGAAATATTCCCAGATGACAGTCAAAGTGAACTATAAATATCAAGATATTCCTTTCTTGGAATATTGGAATATTTGAAACTATTTTGATTATAATTAGCATTTCTTGAAGGTATAAAGGACATCAAATCTGACTTCTTTTCAGTGTTAATCTCGATCGCTTCGACCGCTGATTAAGACGTGGAATTTATCATTCGTTCAGTGATCGACGCGATCGCGGCACTCATAATAGCCTTGTTTTTTCTTCTACGATCTCTTTTTTTTAAATTTATCTTGAAACATTTGGCTGGTTTTCTAGTCATTTCCTGACCTGATTCAAGCAGCAAGAACTTTTTGTCATCCAGAAAGACTAACCTTACCTCATCTTCAAGGTAAAGTATAAATTTAGTTTCGTTTTCATTAATGGGGTATCTGATTAACTGCATAGTGATGTTGTAAGCAAGCCACAGACGATAGGTGGTGTTTATTATTTGCGTACAGGTTTTAAGTGATCGATCTCAAAAATATAGGGAGTAGTGATTGCGAGAAGGATAAATTAAATAAGTATGTAAACATTTGCGGGTGGGTCGCGTAAACGAAATTTGTAACCAAAACTAGTCTTTCCTAGGTTTACTTTGCCTTTGAAGCGCTTGCAGAAAGCATAATTCCTATGAACGATCTACTTACTTGAAGGTTAATAACTAAAAATCTTAAATTCCGAAATCCTTTGGATGACGCGCACAAAATTGATGAGAATTGAACAGTCTCAGTGGCTTTTTCTTTTTCGCCAGTTTCAACTCAAAACGCGCTCAACTGAACAACGCGGTCCTTCCATCAAAGGACACAACAAGGAAAGATTTATCTGGACATTGCAAAGGAAATTGAAGTGAACCAGTACGTAACTTGTGCATTGTAATAGCTTCTTTTTCCGTCTCATTTTTTTCTTAAATCTTGGTTGCAAAAAAAAAAAAAAATGCCGTCTTCAATTAGAGAAAAAATATATATTACAGAAATCCTTCTCGTGTTATCATTACATGTATATACATTTACACAACATGTACGGCTCATCAAATTATTTTTTTGTAAAAGAAAGCAATTGTCCGTGTGCCAAATACTCGTCACCGCAAGAGGTTGGTTTTTATTTCATTCTTCTTTTGTTGACGTCGTGTTTAAAGCGTTGGCTTATCTTTAAAAGTGGATGACGCACCAGGGGGCCGCAACTTTCATTCTGACCGAGCTGATATAAGAACCTAAAAAACCTGTCGTCAGGACCCCAAACTATTCTTGCCTAAAAAAGCTTGATAATATTCGAGTTAGCTCAGAGCTCTCCTTAGTAATCATAAAGGGAACTGACTTCTGAGTCGCTGTTAGGTTATTGCTACTTTTACTAATTTGATTAGCTGTTGATCTCGCCTTACCTATAATATTGCTTTGAAATCGTGAAAATAATACTTCTTAGTACTTGGACAAACGTTCATGAATATATTCTTAGTTGTGTGATGTCAGTAATTTCAATTGCTACGATTATTAATTTTACTGATTTGAATTTAAGACTTTTTAAAAAATATGCTCTACTATATTCAGCTTCTAGTCCATTCTGGAAATAAACGCGTTATAAATAACCATTAAAGATAGATCCTGAAAAAAGGGGAAACCTATATTTATATTCGTACATGTACTCTAAAAAATGGTGCAATATTAGTCATCTTTGACGTAATTTACATCTTATTTTTGTTTTTTTTCCTTTTTATTTTTACAGCAATAAAGTTATTATGGATCGATTTCTTTTAATCGCATTTCTTTGTGTCAACTGGTCACATCTTGCCTTCAGCCAGGGTAAGTACGCAGTGGTGTTATTTACAATATTGATCTTAAAGTCGGAAGGTTAAAAAGGTTACATAAGTGAGCAGAAAGGTTTATCAAAATAATGGTTTGAAGTTTCACTCAGTAAGGTTCGAGCTTTTTGCAATACACATACAGAAATTTAAATAAGCTAGCAGAATTAGGAGGGTGTATTAGACTTATGATAGTCAGGCTGAATTAAGGCATGAATAATAGTCCTGATTATTATATGTTATTATCTTTTAGCTGCTTTACCATGGACCTATATTCCAAATGCTTTACTAGGTAAGAATTTACTTGATATATAAGGCTATATATCCAAAATGATTTGTAGATATTTAAAAGGGATTTAACGCAAGCTCCCCTTTCTGACATATCTTCAATTTCTACACTATAGTCTGAGGTTTGGTTTTTACACTTAAATGTCAAGATAGGAATCTGTTGGTTTTTCAAATATGGATCAATACTTTGCTTAATGAGAAACTCTCGACGAGTGACCTCTTGTAAAATGTTTCAGCAATTAACTATCTGTGCACCACTTTAAATGCCCTAACTAAGCAGTGCACCATGGTGGGTCTCTATTTATCTTCACCTTTCTTAACTCACCCTCCATTCAAATACTCTTTGAGGAAGGTTTCAGAATGTCCTGTTGTTTATTGGCGTTGCGTAGGCTCTTCTTGGTTATGTATCGTGTTGTGGTGTGTGTATTAATGTTAAGTTTTTTTGCAATCTTTTGTATTACGTCATTTGGTCAAGGCACCAATCCGTAACACGCTAGAAACCATCGAATACCATACGAAACTTCAAGTTTTGTCGAAAAATTCATGTTTCTTACAGCTGTTTCTGTTCTGGCTTTAACCAAATAGTCCATTCTTTTCATTTTGTTTTAGGTCCTGCTAACTGGGCAGGTATATGCAGCACAGGAAAAAGGCAATCACCAATTGACATTAAAAGCTCCGAGACAACTCTTGACAAAGGCTTAGGTGTGTTCACACTGAAAAACTACGACAGGAAACTCAACAAAACATTTACTGGCTCAAACAATGGCCACTCCTTGGGAATGTCATTCCCTGCAGGAGTGTACAATGTTAGTGGAGGAGGTCTGAACGATGTTTACACCACTGTTCAGTTTCACTTTCACTATGGACCAAACAACACGGTGGGATCGGAACACATTGTGGATGGAGAACATTATGCCGCTGAGGTGAGTGCGCGGGCAAACAAAATAATGTTATTGTCATAAAAAAAATCCAACGAGATTGTTTATGTATAGGCGGTTATTTATTCAGTAAATAAAAACAATATCCACTGGTATGTCTAAAAGTTTAATGAGTGCTTTTAGATCGCAATTTGAATTGTGCACCATCTATCGCTAAGCATTTTAGTTCTCTCCAGTGCTTCTGTATACAGCCCTACTCCTATTTGCGCTTTCTTACGAAATCTCAAGAAATACAAGGCTCATCATTGTTGAGCTTGTCAATGCAAGGGAAATGAAACTGTCATTTGAAAAAAAAAAAGATCTATCTTGTCAACAGCTCAAGGGTGAAAATGATGATGGTGATGATCATGACCATAAGAGATCTTCCCTTGCAATCCTTGTTGTCATAATGGAACCATCTGCAAACGATAGAAACAACAGCAAAATGCTTACTTTACTTTGTACTCTTTAATATTCTCACCAAATGCTTAACGGTATTCTGTTTTTACTTTGACAGTTGCATTTTGTTAGCTACAATACCAAATATGCCGACCTTATGGACGCACTCAACCATGAAGATGGCCTCGCTGTTCTTGGTCTCTTCATACAGGTAACTCAGATTAAAAGGTTTATTCATACTAAGTAATTCGAAAACAACTGTAACTAAGCAAACTCTTTATCAGCAGTTCAAGCTTTTGACTGCACATATTACAAACTACATATACTGCTCGCAAATGAAAGTATGTGGCGTACATGAAACAGCCGTCCATCTGATAACATTTTACCCACAAAAACATAAACATAAAGAAGAATGCAGTAAAGTCTTTATTCTTAAATACTTTTTTAGAATTTGGACGACCATTCTCTCCGTTTTTGACATCAAAATAAAGTTCGTATCTATCTACGCTTATCCGTGTTAGCATGCGATTTCTTTAGCTTTCTGCGCATGCTCTACTTGGACGATTGGTATCATTGGTGCGATCCTTTTTAGGAAAAGTAAATTAACATATATTGTTTTCTTTTACTCATACCTTTTCAGGTCGGAGGCAGAAATAACACAGCATTTTCATTTTTGGAAAGTGCCCGAAACTTGACTTCGAGTTGTAAGTGATGTTTTCTGGATATTATAAGATATATATATATATATATATATATATTTTTTATACTGTTTTACATATTATAATATTTAGTCCATGTAGTTATTTTAATACATCGGCTGGTTTGTCTTATTTTCTACAGACACCTCTATCAGTGACATTCCAGCTTTCAGATTTGACAGAATATTGCCAGCAAATAGGACCAAGTACTTCCGGTACAGTGGTTCACTAACTACTCCCTCATGTAAAGAAAGTGTCACGTGGACTGTGTTTAGGGACGCTGTCAACATATCGCAGTATCAGGTACACTATTGACTTGTTAACATGTGTCTTTTAAAAGCTTCTTAGGACCGTTGTGTTTTGAATCCATTTGCCATAAACACGAGCCAGGTTTCTGGTAAACATAGCGATTGCCTAGTTCGATGGGTGCTTGTCACTAATGTGGGGTTTGTTTTTCTCAGATGAACCTTCTGCGTCAACTCAGGAAGACTTACACCACGACAAGTGTCGGCAATTTCCGTCCCGTACAACCACTTTACGACCGAATCATCAGAACTAGTTTCCAAGTTGCAGAGATGACGAACACCACTTCTGCTAAGATCGACACCACTGTCACTAGCAATGGGGCGGAAACTACTACTCCCACCATAACTGACCAAAACGGTACCTCTTCAATCTCTTCTACTGGTGTTGTTACTACAACTGCGGAGGAATCACCCCCAGCTCCAACTGTCGAATTTGACCTTGGATCATCAGCAGTTGGGATGACCACCGGCCTGTTTTTGTCGATGTTGTTTGCTTCCATGTCAGCTTTAATTGTGCATTAGAACCAAGTCATGTTGATCCAATTGTAGTTTCCTATCTAATTGTCTTGCATCTGAGTTATTTATGAAATGACATTTCAAGACCAGTCCAAAGTAAGAGCGATTACTGCGTCAGTAACTTCTTGCAAATTGGAAGGAATCTGTAACCTGTAGTCAGGCTATATTTTCGTTTCACCTTAAACTTCACCTTGTCATTAGGTCCACTTGATCAGAGTCCTCAGTATTCCTCTCGGATTGGGTCCCTTGGCAAGTGGTTTGGTCGGTATACTATGTCCTTTGATGGCAGTTTTCGACTACTCGCAAACTCGTAACCTTCATTTTCACCCTTCTCCCAGTGATTCAAGGTCTTCCTATTTCTTCTTTTTTTTTTTTTTTTTTTTTTTTTTTTTTTTTTTTCACGTAGATGGGGGTTACCCCATTGCCGTTTTCTAAACTTAACTGTAGGATTGCGGCCTAACTCTCTGACCAGCCCTGCAGGATTAAGTTCATAGCTCTAGGATAAATGAGGCTTTCCCAAAACATTCACCACAACAACAAGATGAATATCCCTAGGTAACGAATTTTCTGTTCTAGTTTAGGAAATAGGCCAGCTAGAATGGCCAGCAAAACATTTTAGCAAACGACCCTAGAATTTGCAGAGTTACAGGTTACAGGTTCTTACGTCCGACCAATGGCAAGAACGCATGTTTTGCTGCTACTCGGCCGATCAGAAGCAAAATAAAACTAACAGGCTTTGGTGCGTGCGTTTTCCCGCGCATGATGGAGGCTGCAATTGGGGTTTTATTGCGAGTTCTGGTGCGTTTAGCGGAGTTGGTGGAAGAAAAAGCCCAATACCACAAAAAAATGTAAAAGAAAAAAAGAGAGAAAAACACAAACATAACACCCAAACGATTCACCTTTAAATTAAGTAGTATCGGCATAAGCACCTCATTTTATATATTATCTGTATCAAAGGAAAGAAATAAAGAAGCTTAAAAGAAATACCAACTGTCTTCCTCAATTGTAGTTATATGTAAGTGAATGGTTGTAGTGCATCACTAAAGGCTAGGTCAAGCTAATTTAGACAATTTCAGCACTTACCAGACACTCACAGAATCGACTAAAACTTCAAAATAATTGCTTCAAACTGCAGAAGAACACGAAAATGCCAGACTCAATCACGGATGGGCCAAGCTGAAGAGATTTAAAAGGATTGCATTCAGGTAAACTTGAAAATCAGATCGAGACCCGCATTTTTTTCAACTTTGCCTCAACTTGTAGCGAGGTGTGACTAAGAATGTTCGGAAATCATCTACATTTGTTACTGGCGATGATTTTGTCTGTAATAGGCCTTTCTATGGCATTATCTAAGAAAATCGGTAACCCATCAAAACTGGTTGTCACGTGACTGTCCGGAGAACCGTACGTACGCAGGTACATCACTTGCACCGGCAAATTTACAAGCTTTCAAGGTCTTGTTTTCGTTCATAACACAGAAAATTACCTCTATTGGCCTTTTTAAAAAAATAGAAAGATCAGAAGAAACACCAAACAATGTTTAACAAGCACAGAAGAGGAAAATCATGACAACGATGAATCATTTAAAACCTTCCTGGCGAAGAATAAGTGGATAATGTTTTCCTCTCGATGGCCGCAAATTAAAGACAGATTGTTGAATTAAATGCGGCGTCTAGGACTTGAGAAAACAACATGGTAATGTAGAGTATTGCTTCGAAGTTAGATAAGAATTTTTAAAGGACTGGTGAAGCTACGGCCGATAAAATAACTGCCGACGGAAAAAGAAAGATTCAAATCAAGCTTTAGCGTGAATAATTTAGAGCTTGTCCATAATGAAACCTGGCAGGAGGTGATACAGGTCAAATCACCTATCTCGCTCAAATTAAACTTGCCACAAATGTTGGGTTTGGTGAGTGAAAGATCATGGCAAAAATGTAGGTCAAAATATTTTGTTCCCTTCAAGTTAGGGGGACCCTTCAAGAAAATGACTATTTGACACCAATTTAAGATATTTAATTAGCTCTTTTTCGTTTAGTATTTCTACAACAAGAAAGGCTATGTGAAAATGATGAAATCCACTGGATCACGTTCTACAATTATCTCTGAGTCTCAAAGCACAGATATTCATTTGAACTAGGCAATTTTATCCCTTTCCATTGCTCCATCAAAAGTAAAGTAGATCTTTCGTAGTGTTGTGAATAGCCTTTAATTGATGGCAAATATCTACAATGAGTAAAACCAAACACACATTTTTGTGTAGGATTTCCCACACTTTGTCAACGCCAGCGAAATTTATTTCTTTATTTATTTATTTATTTATTTATTTATTTATTTATTTATTTATTTATTTATTTATTTATTTGTCCACGACAGGAAAGCGTTCGTCACGTAGTTTCTACCTGGCGTGTAGACTGCGTTCAACTAGCAAAAGGTTGAATGTTTTTGTGCGGCGGCCATTAGTGTGATTACTCTTACCGGGTGTTGTTTTTTGGCGAATTTTGACTTGTTTTTGAGATTCTGAGGGAGTCTTAGGCCTTAGGTCTTAGTGTTTTTTAGCCACTCGCTGCCGTATTTATTTTTGACGGGCCATTTATTATAAGGTGGGTAAACATTCGCTTTCTCTATACGCGCGAAATTCTTGGATGAATAAGGAACAATTAAACACTCATACAACAATCATACAAAGTTCCAGTTCTCGGACAGAACTTTCTGCCATTTCATATTTAAATTATGTCACATTGAAATTCCTTCGATCAGCTGAAAATCCCGACAATTTCTGCGGAAAATGAATTGTAGTAAACATTGTGCATGTCGCGCCGCGCAGTCTGCAACTGTCGAAAGAAAATTTACACTTGATTGATTTCATTACTTTCAACTCCCGTCTATTACTAAAATCAGCATATTTATATCAACAACCGCAGTCTGACGGACAGATATAACATAATGACAAAGCCCAGTATTTTCCTGTGTATTTATGGTTACCAAGTTGAGGTCCTCTCGACTGACAAACCATGATTTCTTGATACGTTGCGTGACGGTGCTGTTTCCGTAGAGTTTAAAAGGACTAAATATTTGCATTTGCCTTCAAACTTCACGCTAAAGATTTTCACATTTACTGGTCATGTTTAACCACAAAAGCTAATTTCTAAAAGTATAATTTACATACAGCTTTCGCAGCTGAAAGCACGAATATTAGCTGACATTTCCAAGCGGAGCTGATTTGTCGTAAACAAGCTCCGTGCAACCAGCGACCGATTCTGAAATTTCCGCTGATGAATAAAAGTAGACAGCATTTCTATTACCGTTCCTTGGTTCAGGCTTACTCTTATGGCTTTAGAGTACTTCTCCGAATAATTTCGACTGAATACAGGCTGAACTTTTCATGAGGGGGG